TACCTGCCCCCTCCTTGTAGTGTATGAGGATCCCTCTCCAGTCCTCAGTACTTACCTGCCCCCTCCTTGTAGTGTATGAGGATCCCCTCCAGTCCTCAGTACTTACCTGCCTCTTCCTTGTAGTGTATGAGGATCCCCCTCCAGTCCTCAGTACCAGGGGCGGACTGACCATTTGGAAACTCGGACACTGCCCGAGGGCCCGGGGTCAGTAGGGGGCCCCATGAGATGCCCCTGGTACCTTTTTCATAGGCTTTTTTAAGTTTGGGCAATGACACAGGGGCCCCATGATCCCCTATTGCCCAGGGGCCCCATGAGTTGTCAGTCCTCCCCTGCTCACTACTTACCTGTCCCCTCCTTGTAGTGTATGAGGATCCCCTCCAGTCCTCAGTACTTACCTGCCTCTTACTTGTAGTGTATGAGGATCCCCCTCCAGTCCTCGGTACTTACCTGCCTCCTCCTTGTAGTGTATGAGGATTCCCTCCATTCCTCGGTACTTACCTGCCTCCTCCTTGTAGTGTATGAGGATCCCCTCCAGTCCTCAGTACTTACCTGCCCCCTCCTTGTAGTGTATGAGGATCTCCTCCAGTCCTCAGTACTTACCTGCCTCCTCCTTGTAGTGATCACCATCCAGTCCTCTTACTTACAGTAGATAGGAACCCCCTATGCCCCCCCCCCCAGTACCTACCTTCCTCCTCCTTGAAGTATATGGTGACGTATCCCCGGCTGCAGTCGGTGTCTCGGATCTCACATTCTCCTCCATTAGATTCGCTCCTCTTCTGGAAATACAGCAGAAGTTTATTTTTCAGTTTCTTCAGCCTCTGGGGGCCGCCATCCCACTGGAGGGAAAGGGGGTGCGGGTACTGGGGGTCCCCCATTCCTCTGGTAGTGTCGGCTCAGATAACCAGAAGAAGGATTGTATAGTGAGACGTACGCTGTGTGTTCTGGGTGTGGAGAGAACGGCTCGGAGAGCTTTACTTTCTGTTTCATTTTTCACTCTCACTGACATTTGTCCTCCTATTTTGGAAAAGTCCCTCCGCACACACAGCTCTCCGCACACACAGCTCTCCACACACACAGCTCTCCGCACACACAGCTCTCCGCACACACAGCTCTCCACACACACACAGCAGCTCCGCACACACAGCTCTCCGCACACACAGCTCTCCGCACACACAGCTCTCCGCACACACAGCTCTCCGCACACACAGCTCTCCGCACACACAGCTCTCCGCACACACAGCTCTCCGCACACACACAGCTCTCCGCACACACAGCTCTCCGCACACACAGCTCTCCGCACACACAGCTCTCCGCACACACACAGATCTCCGCACACACACAGCTCTCCGCACACACAGCTCTCCGCACACACAGCTCTCTCCGCACACACAGCTCTCCGCACACACACAGCTCTCCGCACACACAGCTCTCCACACACACACAGCTCTCCGCACACACAGCTCTCCGCACACACAGCTCTCCGCACACACAGCTCTCCGCACACACACAGCTCTCCGCACACACAGCTCTCCGCACACACACAGCTCTCCGCACACACAGCTCTCCGCAAACACACAGCTCTCCGCACACACAGCTCTCCGCACACACAGCTCTCCGCACACACAGCTCACCGCACACACAGCTCTCCGCACACACAGCTCACCGCACACACACAGCTCTCTCCGCACACACACACAGCTCTCCGCAAACACACAGCTCTCCGCACACACAGCTCTCCGCACACACAGCTCTCCGCACACACAGCTCCTCACACACACAGCTCTCCACACACACAGCTCTCCGCACACGCACAGTTCTCCGCACACACACACAGCTCTCCGCACACGCACAGCTCTCCGCACACGCACAGCTCTCCGCACACGCACAGCTCTTCGCACACACAGCTCTCCGCACACACACAGCTCTCCGCACACACACAGCTCTCCGCACACACAGCTCTCCGCACACACAGCTCTCCGCACACACAGCTCTCCGCACACACACAGCTCTCCGCACACACACAGCTCTCCGCACACACACAACTCTCCGCACACACACAGCTCTCCGCACACACACAGCTCTCCGCACACACACAGCTCTCCGCACACACAGCTCTCCGCATAGTCTAGTCTTGTATGGTCAGCGGTGGTGTCAGTGGTCGGTGTTCGGACAGACTGGTGTCGTCTAGTCTTGTATGGTCGGCTGTGGTGTCTGTTGTCGGTGTTTGGACAGGGAAGCGGTATTCTAACAGAAGTACTCAAGTGCAGTCTGAGTTGGTTCCATTACACAGCTCTGGCCTCTTTTGCCTTTAGACACAGTGTCCTCCTCTACAGCCCACCTCTAGCCTATGGATTGGGTTTCTCCTGACACCCTGATAGGAGCCGACCTGACTCCTGGAACTGAGACCTCTGTGTCTTGGCTTCCGGCTGGGCCCTCTGACTCCTCAATGAGACCTTCTGTCTCCTCCACTGGGAGCAGTCTCCAAACTAGGAACCCTGAGCTATCCTCAGATCTGAGTACCCTATATTGCCCAAAGTATTGGGCCGCCTACCTTTCCATGCACATGACCTTTAATGGCCACCCAGTCTTAGCCTATAGGGTTCAATATTGAGTTGGCCCCGCCCTTTGCAGCTATAACAGCTTCAACTCTTCTGGGAGGCCATCCACAAGGTTTAGGAGGGTGTCTATGGGAAGGTTGGACCATTCTTCCAGAAGCACATTTGTCAGGTCAGGCACTGATGTCGGGGGAGGAGGCCTGGCTCGCAGTCTCCGCTCTAATTCATCCCAAAGGTGTTCTATGGGGTTGAGGTCAGGACTCTGTGCAGGACAGTCAAGTTCCTCCACCCCACACTGGCTCCTCCATGTCTTTATGGACCTTGCTTTGTGCACTGGTGATGGAGGGCTTGGATGCAGCTGCTCGGCCATGGAAACCCATTCCATGAAGCTCTCTACGCACTGTTGTTGGGCTCATCTGAAGGCCACACCAAGTTTGGAGGTCTTTAGCTATTGACTCTGCAGACAGTTGGCGACTTCTGCGCACTGTGCGCTTCAGCATGCGCTGACCCCGCCCTGTCATGTGACGTGGCCTACCACTTGGTGGCTGAGTGGCTGTTGTTCCCAGTTGCTTCCACTTTGTTATAATCCCACTAACAGTTGAGCGTGGAATATTTAGTAGCCAGGAAATGTCACGGATGGACTTATTGCCTAGGTGGCCACCTATCACGGGACCACGCTTGGAGTCACTGAGCTCCTGGGAGCGACCCATTCTTTCACCAATGTTTGTAGAAGCAGTCTGCATGCCTAGGGGCTTGATTGTATACACCTGTGTCCATGGAGGGGATTGGAACACCTGAATCACATGATATGGAGGGGATTGGAACACCTGAATCACATGATATGGAGGGGATTGGAACACCTGAATCACATGATTGGGAGGGGAATGGAACACCTGAATCACATGATTGGGAGGGGATTGGAGCACCTGAATCACATGATTGGGAGGGGATTGGAACACCTGAATCACATGATTGGGAGGGGATTGGAACACCTGAATCACATGATTGGGAGGGGATTGGAACACCTGAATCACATGATTGTGAGGGGATTGGAACACCTGAATCACATGATTGGGAGGGGATTGGAACACCTGAATCACATGATTTGGAGGGCAGGCCCAATACTTGGGGTAATATAGTGTATATAATGACACCTCACATCTGTGTACTCCAGAATGCAGATGTCTAGCAAAACCCGGATACAGGATTGAATGTTCTGATCCAGAACTACAGGATCCGGCGAAATCGAAATCCACAGCTTTCTCTGCCCAGAAACACTAGTCTGGAACGTTGCATCCACCCTAAATGTGAATCCTGCGTCACGTTTTCCTATCTTCTCACAGTGACGGGTCTCGTTCTGTCACAATACTTAAGCTGGAACAAATGCGCAGTTTCCTGCATGCATCTAAGTGAGGTGGATGCAGAACCCCCCATGCTGGGACATTGTATTCTGACAGAAGGGACTCTCTGATGGCAGAATACACTGATCAGTGCCATAGCCGATTGGCAAGATTTTCCAGCAATCCCATTTGACAGAAGCCGGTCTAATGATTGGGTTCTGTCTAACAGAATCAGAATTTGGTCCCTGCTAAACTGATCTGTGTGTAACCGGCTTTCCCTTATTCCTCATAGCTTCAGCAGGCTTCCTCCAGCGCTGTGACTGGTTCCCCACAGCTTCTGTGTATGTTGAGGCTTTGAGGTGAAGCTGAGGTTTTAGGTGGAGGAAGAGATCAGTGCAGCTGGCTGGAGCATGGAAACCGGTGCCCGGTCACACCGGTGCGATTTCAGGTACGATCTGGGAATTGAAATGGCATCTAATGAATGTGAATGTCGGTGTCCTAACACGTGCGATTTGCTGCGGCGCCATTTCTAAAGTAGTTCTTGTATGACATTTTCTGCAGTTTTGTTGCGACTTCACACACATAGAATCTAATGGAAATCGCAGTGCAAATAGCAAGAAATAATTAGAAATCTTCACAATTCGCAATAAAGACTTAAATAATCGCACATAAAAATCACGCTGAAGGTGGACTTTTTTTTTTCCTTTCCTGGAGTTGGGCTGTATTGTGGCATTACGACAATTGCTGTAAATGCTCAAATGCTTGAATGTGTTCGGAATTACTATGACTTCTGAGGTTCTACATCAATGTATTCCACAAACACACTTTATCTTTGTAGCACCCTTCTAGGTAGCTAGGGGGAGCTAAGTCACTTCTTTTTTGGGGGGAAATAGAGGAGTCAGATTTGGATCAGGGCTGAGAGGCTCTGCGGATCTGTTCCCTGATACGTCCTCCGATCTAGAGACATCGAGAAGTCAGTGGACAGCTGGTCTGCACTCTCAAGGAATCCTGGCCAATCTCCAAGTAGGAGGCTTGGCATGGGGTCAGGACTGCCCTTAAGAGTGGATGAGCCTGCTCAGCAGCAGGAAAGTTTGGGTGGAAGGTGGACTGAGCAGAATCCCCCCAATGATTCCAACAATGGGGCACCATTCCTCCCAATGATACCAACAATGGGGCACCATTCCTCTTTCTGATACCAACAATGGGGCACCATTTTTCTCACTGATACCAATGATGGGGCACCATTTCTCCCTCTTATACCAACAATGGGGCAACATTCCTCCCTCTGATACCAACAATGGGGCACCATTCCTCCCTCTGATACCAGCAACGAGGTACCATTCCTCTCAAGGATACCAACAATGGCACACCATTCCTCCCACTAATACCAACAACGGGGCACCATTCCTCCCTCTGATACGAACAATGGGGCACCATTCCTCCCTCTGATACCAGCGGGGCACCATTCCTCCCACTGATACCAACAATGGGGCACCATTTTTCTCACTGATACCAATGATGGGGCACCATTCCTCCCTCTGATACTAACAACGGGGCACCATTCCTCCCTCTGATACCAACAATGGCACACCATTCCTACCACTGACACCAATGATGGGGCACTATTCCTCCCTCTGATACCAACAACGGGACACCATTCCTCCCACTGACACCAATGATGGGGCACTATTCCTCCCACTGATACCAACAATGGGGCACCATTCCTCCCACTGATACCAACAATGGGGCACCATCCCTCCCACTGATACCAACAATGGGGCACCATTCCTCTCAATGATACCAACAACGGGGCACCATTCCTCCCACTGATACCAACAATGGGGCACCATTTTTCTCACTGATACCAATGATGGGGCACCATTCCTCCCTCTGATACTAACAATGGGGCACCATTCCTCCCTCTGATACCAACAACGGGACACCATTCCTCCCACTGACACCAATGATGGGGCACTATTCCTCCCACAAGATATGATCACAGATGATTGGTTTACTTTGCAGTTATAAAACTGACTGGGACTCAGCGGAGATCACATGACTCTTCACAGCAACAATGTTATAACATAAACAGAGGTAAGAAAAAGACCTTCATCCTAACTTCTACAAACCTATGAATACAGAATCAACCCCTTCACTGCCAAGGTGCAAGAAGTTCAGTGAATAGAATAGAAACAATATTTTTCTAATTGTTTGGAGTGGAATAGATCTGCACAAGAAGAAAGTGAGACTAAGTGTGAGGAGGACGGGGCCGACAGTGTGAGGAGGACGGGGCCGACAGTGTGAGGAGGGAGGGGCCGACAGTGCAGGGAGGGAGGGGCCGACAGTGCAGGGAGGGAGGGGCCGACAGTGTGAGGAGGGAGGGGCCGACAGTGTGAGGAGGAAGGGGCCGACAGTGTGAGAAGGAAGGGGCCGACAGTGTGAGGAGGGTGGGGCCGACAGTGCGAGGAGGAAGGGGCCGACAGTGCGAGGAGGGCGGGGGGCCGACAGTGCGAGGAGGGCGGGGCCGACAGTGCGAGGCGGACGGGGCCGACAGTGCGAGGAGGGACGGGCCGACAGTGCGAGGAGGGGCCGACAGGGCCGACAGTGCGAGGAGGGAGGGGCCGACAGTCTAAGTTTCTTAAAATATATATATTTTGTTTAGCCAAATTAGTTACCAAACATGAATGTTTAAGTGAATCACAGATGCTGGAATGTTATTGTTTCAGATGAATAAATCTATTTAAATTGTTATTATTAAGGTGATGATTATTTTTCTCCTTCCTAAGTAACAGAAAAGTTGTCAAATATGAATGATTAACCTATTAAACTGGGGAGAAAAAAACTAATATGAAAAGTTGTTATTCTAAAAATCTTCATCTACTTGTATATTAAAGTTTATACCAGCAAGAAATAGTCTTTATGTAGAAAACGAGGATTTACATCCAGCCTGACTGACTAGTGATTTACATCCAGCCTGACTGACTAGTGATTTACATCCAGCCTGACTGACTAGTGATTTAAATTGTGATTTAAATCAGTTTGATTTAAATCAAATCCACCCTGCCGCCAGTATATAGTTGTCCCACAAAAGGGTTTAAAGTCCCCGCCTGCTTTAGGGGTCCAGAAAAGTCACAAGAGCCCAGCAGCATCTCAGTAGCCAGACAGCTCATAGCCCTCTCACAACTGTGTCCTTCTCTACTCAACACCTGATGGACAATAAAGCCGGCCATAGACGGTTCTAGATAAGAACCATGTATGGGCAGACTGAATGTACCAATGATGATCGATTGATCGATCAACTTGGGTACAACCAGCCTGTCTGATTTTACCTGCTAGTGGCTATTATAGTCATTAGTAGCAATCACTGTGATCTCCTGGTGGGGACGGCTCCCCCTCACCACCCCCTCCACGGAAGGGATTCCCCCATCAACACTGATGGTGATGACAGGGAATCGAGTGAATTTCTGTCCTGCAACCCGTGGCTGCAGGAAAGAAAATCGTTCAGTCTATGGTCATCCCTTAGGATTAGTTTGACTCCATCTATGTTCCTCATACCTTGTGCTGTGTTGTAATAGAAGAATGACCACATCATTTGCATCTCTTATACTTGAAGTATTTGTAACATTTACTCCACTACTATTTCTTTGTATCAATTTTTATTGATGTCTCTTCCTGTCCCACTGCAGTCCTCATTGGTCTTCAGCTGTCAGGAGAAGCTGCTTCTACTACCTTCACTCCGGCAGCTTGAAAAGGATACGAGAAGCTTCCCTCAGTAGGCTGATGAAAGGGAGAACATCCCCAAAACGCGTCCATACACAGCACTAGACTGGTGTGACATCACTCTGGAGGGCGGAGCCTTGTCTGAAACAGCCGGCGTTGGCTTTCCTCGAGGCATCCGAGTCTCCCTTCGGCTCTGAGGATCTCCCCGCTCTCTCTGGTCAGTCAGTAACAGTGCAATAGAATAAATGGGCGCACAAAAGGGAACCCAAAATAGAAAGACCGGACTTTAGAGGCTCAATATGGGAGACCGTACAATATATATAAAACAAAGTACACTTTATTATATATGTAGCACCCTCCTAGTTTAGCTAGGGGCAGCTAGATCCTAATGGTGTAGACGGGTTGAGTAGCAGCTCAGGTGTAATAGCCAGAGGGGTCAAATTGTGGTGAGGGCCAGTCCTTCTGGAATTTCTCCCTGCTCTAAGTCTTTTGGAGAAAGGCCCTGGAGGCAATGGGTGGATCTGATGAGTGGCTGGCCGCACTCTTGAGGGATCCTAGCCAATCCCCAACAAACGGTTGGCAAGGGGCTGGATACCCTTAAAAAGTGCTGGAGCCTGCTCAGTGGCAGGAGTGTGGAGTTGGATGGAAAAAAAGATGTAAGGCTGCAGGAGGAAGGCCTAGTGGGATGGGACCTTCCTGCAAGCCTGGAGCTGGATGGGGGGAAAGCTTGGAACTCACTGGCCCCCTGAACAATGACCACTTGTATGGTCGGGAAGACGCATCCCACCTGATAGGCCTGGTAGCAGCAGCCAACCCACCAGCGGTACGGGAGCGAATCTGAGTGAGTAGACCTGAACCCCCTAGGCAGATAGGGGAAGGAGCACTCTGGGGGGAAATCAGATTATCCCTCTGCTAGTGACTGTTCACCTCTCTAAAGGAACAGGAGCCAGATCCCCTTCTCAGGGATACCTCCAGAATGCTGGGTGAAGAGGAGACTTTCATCTGGGGTCTGGGGTGGTACATTGTGGAGACGCTGGCTAGTTCTTCTACTGAGATTGTGCTGCAAAACAGAGGCTTGTAAATAGCTCCAGGGAGGTTGTCCTCACTTGTCCGTACCCTTGGGCATCCAGTACTCCCCCCACCCTATCCCAGTTCAAATCCCATCAATAAACAACAAAACAAAAACTCCAGGACGGATTTTCTGACTCTGGATGCAAGCTTGTGTGGAGAATGCTGATTGCCTGGCCGTGCTGGACTGTAGGGGGTAGTGCTACATGTACATTCAAATTCAGGATGAAATACAAAGATGCCAGCAGGTTTGCTGGACACCTGAACAGTACCCGAGCCAAGCTGACCGGAACTGGAATATATGAACTCCATATACATACAACTATTGCAGAGTCTGTAGGCTTCTGGACAAGGACAACGCGTTTCACCAGTTCTAGCTCCTTTAGGACCCAGTGTGTTGGTAGGGCATCACTATATATACAGTGAAGGAAATGCGTATTTGCCCCTCGGCTGATGCTGAATGTTCGCCCCTCACACAGAAATGATCGGTCTAACAATGGAATGTTCGCCCCTCACACAGAAATGATCGGTCTAACAATGGAATGTTCGCCCCTCACACAGAAATGATCGGTCTAACAATGGAATGTTCGCCCCTCACACAGAAATGATCGGTCTAACAATAGAATGTTCGCCCCCTCACACAGAAATGATCGGTCTAACAATGGAATGTTCCCCCTCACACAGAAACGATCGGTCTAACAATGGAATGTTCGCCCCCTCACACAGAAATGATCGGTCTAACAATGGAATGTTCGGTGTAACACTGAGAGACAGAATACAACAACAAATTCAGCAGAAATGCGTCTAACAAATGATGACGGATCTGCATGTTCATGAGGGAAAGAAGGATTTGATCCCCTATCATTCAGCAGGATTTCTGGCTCCCAGGTGTCTCTCATACAGGTAACAAGCTGAGATTAGAAGCAGTCTCTTAAAGGGAGTGCTGCTAATCTCATTGTGTTACCTGTATAAAAGACACCTGTCCACAGGAGCAATCAATCCATCAGATTCCAAACTCTCCACCATGGCAAAGACCAAAGAGCTGTCCAAGGATGTCAGGGACAAGATGGTAGACCTACACAAGGCTGGACTGGGCTACCAAACTATGGCCAAGCAGCTTGGTGAGAAGGTGACAACAGTTGGTGCAATCATTCACAAATGGAAGAAACACAAAACAAGTGTCAGTCTCCCTAGGTCTGGTGCACCATGCAAGATCTCACCTCGTGGAGTGTCAATGATCATGAGAACAGTGAGGAATCATCCCAGAACTACACGTGAGGATCTTGTCAATGATCTCCAGGCAGCTGGGACCACAGTCACCAAGAAAACAATTGGTAACACACTACACCGACAAGGACTGAAATCCTGCAGTGCCCGCACGGTCCCTCTGCTCAAGAAAGCCCATGTCCAGGCCCATCTGAAGTCTGCCACTGAACATCTGAATGATGCAGAGGAGGACTGGTGGGAAGTGTTGTGGTCAGAGGAGACCAAAATCCAGCTCTTTGGCATCAACTCAACTCGCCGTGTTTGGAGGAAGAGGAATGCTGCCTATGACCCCAAGAACACCATCCCAACTGTGAGACATGGTGGTGGAAACATTCTGCTTTGGGGGTGTTTTTTCTGCTAAGGGGACAGGACAACTGCCCCGCATCAAAGGGACGATGGACGGGGCAATGTACCCTCAAATCTTGGGTGAGAACCTTCTTCCCTCAGCCAGGGCATTGAAAATGGGTGGTGGATGGGTGTTCCAGCATGACAATGACCCAAAACACACGGCCAAGGCAACAAAGGAGCGGCTCAAGAAGAAGCACATTAAGGTCCTGGAGTGGCCTAGCCAGTCTCCAGACCTACATCCAATTGAAAATCTGTGGGGGGAGCTGAAAGTTCGAGTTGCCAAACGTCAGCCACCAAATCTTAATGACTTGGAGAGGATCTGCCAAGAGGAGTGGGCCAAAATCCCTCCTGAGATGTGTGCGAACCTGGGGGCCAACTCCAGGAAACGTCTGACCTCTGTGATGGCCAACAAGGGATTGGCCACCAAGTACTAAGTCATGTTTTGTGAAGGGGATCAAATCCTTCTTTCCCTCATGAACATGCAGATCCGTCATCATTTGTTAGACGCATTTCTGCTGAATTTGTTGTTGTATTCTG